ACACTCTCGCACTTCAATTTGAATATACTCTCGCACTTCAATTTGAATATATTTTTCTTTTTTTTTCCTTAAAAAAATGCAGGGGGGGGGGGGCTGAATCCACCACTGCTCAAAACATTGTTTATCCAAAATAGTCATAATCACAAAAAATGGGCATTTAAAACCAGATCACATCCTAAAAACAAATTTATGCATTCTCGCCTCACCAGCAGTCCTGAGTCTGGTGTCGACTCAATGGAGTTTAATGTCATACCCAGGAAGGCCGCAATCTGTTTTGAAAGGTGGAGGTGGGGGTTGGGGGACATTTTGTGAGTCGACACCCACATCAGACACACTATTGTTGGGGCTGAGGTGCGAACATTTGAGGGAATAGTAACTCTAGTTGACCAGAACATGACATTTTTAGTAAAATTCATCATAATCACAACAAATGTGCCAACAAATTTCTCATGATCTTTTATCAGGGATTTTCGGCAACCAGAGATCTTATTAATATGTGTGATGTACTATCAGGGGCGGATCCAGAAATGTCTAAAATGGGGGCCCGAATGTTGGGCTGATTGAGACAACACTGTCGTAGGGGGTCCGGGGCATTCCCCCGCGAAATTTTTGTGTTCTAGACGCCCGAACATAACATTTGAGGCATTCTTGGCTATCATTTTTTTCTTTTTCTCTCTTTTTTTTTCTTTTTTATCTCCCAAAAGGGGGGGGGGTCGGGGCCGGGCCGCCCCCCCCCCAAATCCGCCCCTGACCATAGAAACTAAAACTTAAAAACATTGTTCTTGAGTATGTACTTTACATACTTCAAAGCCGTGATTTCACAACCACCTCAGGCCCACCGTAGTTGGGGTTGAGGTGAGAAAATTTGAGGAAATACACCTCTAGATGGCCAGAAATGACACATATATAGTAAAATTCATCATCAACAAATTTCTTATGATCATTTATCAGGGATCTACATAATATCCAAGACAACTTAGGCCTATATATAGCTTACTAAGCTTAAACTATACTATAATAATTGTGATCAACAAATCACAACTTACTTTTTCGCCTTAAGCATAATTTTCTTCACTTCTTAATATTATTATCTATTATCGCCATCATCATCATCGTCATCATCATAATTATTATTATTATTATTATTATTATTATTATTATTATTATTATTATTATTATTATTACTAGTAACTCAGTAGCATTAAAACAAAACTTTATAGAGCTTGCAAAAGGATAAAAACCAAACTGAGTACAATATCACATTTCTGTATCTGAAAATCCGGGCCTGGGATTTATGGATTGAAGATTTTTTTTAATCACGCTTAGGCCTGTTATTATAGTAGGCCTATCTATGTATAACGTGTGCTGATGCATATTTACATACATTAGAAGTATTCATTTTGAGTGATCTCTGGAAAAAATTTGTATTGGCTAGCAAGAACAAGTTTTAAAATTTTAACACTGTGTACAAAGGGGGAGGGGGATCCCCCCACTGTATACGTCCCTGCCATGCAAACCTCCAAACAATACACATATTTTTTTCCAAACAATTCATCATACTTTATGTTTTTCCTTGACCGAAGGTAACGGTTTACAGCATCAATTCGAGGTTCTTCAAACGTAACTATTGAAGAATGGGATCTCGCCTCAAAGGATAGAATGAGGAAGGACTAGTGTTGTCCAAAAGCTCTAATTCTGTTTCTGACTGACGTTTTCTTTTTAGCTGTTGCTTATCAAATTAGTATATCTTCCGAGATCCAGCCCCATTCATGGTTTCTGACAGCGTTGTTGTTTCTCAGTAGTTGTCTTGTAATCCCTTATAATAATCACACACACACACACACA